AAAGGAGGACGTGTAGGATGGATATCTGAAATACTATTTGCAGCAGTTTTGCACTTTCTGATGGTCTGATAACAAGCACTGTAGTTTGATCTGCTACTAAATGCTTGAGAACAAGCAATTCTGAAAGCAAAACCAGTGCTATGTGGCAAAAGGGCTGGCCAGAAAGCCTGATAATATAGATTCAATTATATACTCCTCCACAAACTTTTCATGTAGCTGCGGGCATGTTGACTATTCTTGACTTGGTTTCCCCGTCTTTCACAAAAGGCTCATATATTCCTTGCTGTATGCATTGTGAGGAAAGAAATCTCTAGTATTTTGGAAGTACTAAACTCTGTGGAAAGGAAGATAGAAAGATACCAAGAGGAAGACCAAGCCCTTGCTTTAGAAAGATGACTTGCAATTTCAAGGAAGTGGACAGAACATCAGAAGTCAAAAAGGCATGTTGAATTTTTCAAGAAGCAAAGCTGATTCAGAACATGTTATGTTTGCAGCTGCTGGGGTGTGAAACTTCTTCCACGATGTGATAACCAGCATGAATTACTTTAGTGCTCATAACAAATACAGATGGACAGATATCAGGGTGAAAGAAAGGGCAAACTGACAGAGAGAACCTTCCACTACATGTTGCTTGGAAATAAATGGATCTTAATCAGCTTTTCTGCCTTTATTTATCTTCAGAAAACCTCTAGAGTTAATATTCTACAGCAGAAAACTAAAATGCTTTTAGGAAATGCACGTTGTTGTATGAGAATCTGCCTCTATTTTAAGGAGGTTGTCTAAAATGCTAATATTTCTCTTTTTATCACGATTCACAAAGCTTGCAGCTTTCAAATTTACCATTTCAGTTTTAGTCACAGGAATTGGATTACTTCATTCCCTGTCCCTTCTCCATTGTAAACAGTTAAGAGATTTGTTGTTTACAGAGTTCATGAATGCTGTATTCCTTGCCTGGTGATCCATATTGATTTTGAGTCAGGATTGAGTTTCCTGCCTTTTACATGCAGCAGCACCTGTAGCAGCACTAGGCATGAAAAGGACTCCCAAATACAAGATATTCACCCATAGCTTTTAGTCAGCATCAAAAAGAAAAAAGGATGTAGAAAGTGTCTCTAAAACATGTGAGGAAAGATAATATTGCACTTTCACCCACAAGTGATGGTGGTATCTACGTCTATACAGCAAATAATTGAAACTAGTGGTCATATAGGCAAAGCATTAAAACTTGACTTCTATATTGTAGGTGTTACAGAAAAAGCAATGTAACACCTTCCTTATTTGCACCTTGTAACTACATTTCTGAAGGTTCAGTTTGCTAGATAGTGGAGAAGGGGAATTCAAAGTGTCCCTGCAGTCTGTGCACTTTGCTGCAGTGTGAGGACATGGGATGGGTATCCAGGAGAGGATCAGCTTTATAACCAGCTAAGAAATGCACATGAATGCACTGAGATAAGGTGTGTTTGCTGTTGCAGCTCCCATTTGGCTGTATAAGATACAACAGTGCATTTTGCTGGCACAGTCACTCATTCAGTTGATTGAGATCATCATGCCATGACCCTGAGATGCTATAGTTACTGAGGGAGGTTTTCAAAGAGAGAAAGAATGTAGAGAACTATTCATTTCATAGTCTAAAAATAAGAGCAATTTCAGAAAAATAAAGCCACACAAACTCAGGATATGCTCAAATGACATCAAGTGGTGTTACATGACAGCATGACCCTTTTTACCTTTGCAGGATGCATTCAGGAAGGGTCTTATCAGTGCCAATCAAACTCAGACAAAACCCCATCAATTTGTACTGATGAGCTATTGTTTATTTATATGTCAGCCCTCCATCCTAAATTAGCAGAACAAATTTAAAAATTGCCTCGAGTACACAATGCAAATCTTTGCTTTTCTTCTGTCCTTTCCATGTGGAGCCCACACCAACAAAACAGTGATCATAAAAAGTACCACTAATAGGGATTGAGTCCAGGGAATATAGGCTCCTGTTCCCTGGCCTTCACTAAATACCCTGAGGGTGATGATTCATTTACATACAATAAGTACTTTTCTGCAAAAGAGCACTGACCTCAGCTTCCTGTGGGCAGGTGAGGAGCACCAGGAAGATGCTGTTGGACAACTGCAGGCTATTATTGAAACCAACTTTGAAACCCCCTTTCCCAGCGCTGCCTTTTGCAAGGGCTCCCATTGGCAGGACAAAAGCCAAGATTGTTTTGAATAGAAAAGAAAGTTTATATTTTATTTGTTTCAGATAAGCCCTAACCAACGGACTTGTGAGGAGCAGATTTGCAACTGGCCTAAGCAGTGGCAATCTTAAACTAAGCTCACTGAACTTGTGAAAACTAAGATTTCATAAAGAAGTTCAATTTTGAATTTTTTTTAACATGTGATATTGAGTGTCTGCCAGAAGTTAGCTTTCTGGCTTTTTTCAAGAGATAATGTAAGCCCAGAGTTAAGATGATGAATTTTGCTGTGTTGTTAGAAAGGGAGTTTCAGGCTCCATCAGGAGGAGAGGTCAAGTGAAACAAACATTAAAATTTGGCCTAGAAGTCTTGGTCCTGGTCCTTTAACTCTTCAGTTCAGTGGCAAAACTCACACTGGTTTTAGTGGGATAAAAACCATTCCTTAGTTTGGTGTACAGGATGTGGGAATGCTTGTGATCCACTCTGGGACCTATGAAAACTGGCTCCATCAGCTAGGCGTTGGGGTAGGTCGAGGAGTTATAGACATCTTGCAGCTGAATAAGGCTATTTAAATTCAGCTCATTAAAAGCAGGTTGTTAGGGTATGTTTCCATTAGGAAGAACAAGTGCTGTTGTTACCCGGAGTCAGCAGTCAAAAGTTATAATGGAAGGAGTTTGTAGGGCTGACACAGACAGCTGTGCAGCACCTCCGAGAGACATGTTGTGCTGTTATTGAAGATGACACAGGAAACAGTAAACATTTTATGTTTTCATTCATCTTTCAAATTGAGCCTTCATGGGCTGAAAAAGCAGGGAGACATTCGGCCGTCAAACATGCTTACCAACATTGCTGCTTGTTTTAGAAAGCACTCAAATTCCCAAGGAGCAGAGGCTAGCATTGCCTATGGGAAGTACAAGTTGCTGCAGGAAATGCTTTTTTTCTTTTTTCTGCACTACAAGTCCTTGAACATACTTAAATGTGGTGGGACAATCACAAAACCTAAGAAAAAAGTACAAATTTTAAGATGTGTATCTTATTTAAAGGGCCTGATCACTGGTGGCCTGAAGACCTGGTTATCTGTTGTCAGAGAGACTCCTTGAAAAATCAGTGACAGTCTACAGGAACCTCTTATAGTTTCAAGGGAGGGGTTACATTCTGCAACTTGATCTTGCATAAGAAGGGCTGTAATGAACATGAATCTGAGTAAACTGCCTTCCATTAAATCAAATCATTCTGTCCCAACATACGTATAGGCCTTGTGGACACTTAGTATTTTGGATACATAAATCTCTGATGGCGGGATTTTATCACTGTTCAGAAATTCCATTGAATCTGCACTGCTGGTGTTGGTGGTCCTTTTATCCACTGTGGGAAGAACATAAAAAACTACAGAAATTGAGAAATAGTCCAAGGCCAGCCAAGGAGAAAAGCTGCCATAGAGACTGGAGGATGATTCACAGTTTTCAAATCTTCTCTGTCATAAGCATTCTGTTTCTTGAAAAAAAATAAAAGTAAAATCATTGCTATGCGAAAAAAAAAAAGTTTTAAGAAGGAAACAAATGTTTGGAAAGCTGACTTGGCTGGAATTTTCCCCGTACATATACTCTTGACATATCAGTGCTTAAACTTTTTATGTGTGCATGAGGGGGGACAGGGAACAATCAAATGTTAGTGAAGATAACCCCATCTGTTTCATTATTTGAGGGTGTGAAAATGCTCTTTAGCTCACATAGTCCTTGCTCTTTCGGTTGCCAGGTGGTCTCACTGCCCAGATTTCAAATCAAAACCAACTGTGAAGAATTTTATTTTTTTTCCCAGCACATACAGGGACAGGGATCCCAGCAGTCCCATCCTTTTTGCAGAAGGCAAATATGCAACATAGCCAGGCCTTAATTTAAGTATTCCTTGCATTAGGTCTTGGGGGTCCTTTTCCTTTAATTGTGAAACAAATGCATGTCAATCCCTTGCACCCGTATCAGAAGTGGTACTCAGTCCACACTTGAAAAGCACAAAATGTTTCACTCCAACCCCCTGCCCTCCTCTTACTCTTAGTGCTCCCTGGAGCACTCGAAAATGTCCTCACCAAAAACCATCCGGCAAGGTCACCATCTGGATACAAGAGAGGGCAATGAAGTGTCCTGTGTCGCAGCCGTGCATCTGCAGCACATTTATTATGTGTGACACCAGAATACCCGTGTGCCTCCCTGTTCTGAATGTCCCGGGTTTCACTCATCCCACTCATCTGCTGGACACCAAGGCACTATGGCCCAACTCACACGTGGGAAGCTGCAGCCCAGAGGGGCTCAGTGACTTGCCCAAGATCACACAGCGGGTCAGAATCGAGGTGAATCCTCTGTCACATCCTTTGTGCCCGGCACAAAGCACAGAAACCTCTTCGCTGATCAGTTTGAACAGGTGCATCCACTGAATGCAGTGGAGTAATGGGCAGAGATGAGAAGGTAGGATGTAAACAGATGTTGTGCTAGTACCCAGAGACTACAGCTATTAGATACAACGTTGCACTGAGGCCATTTTACAACTTCTAACTCCTGAGCAAGTTGTCACAAGTCACTTGAGTGCATCTGCGCTGAGCCTTATTGTGTGGTAAAATGGTCACCTGCTCTCCCTCCCCAGCCCAAGTTAGTATCTTAATTTATGGCTTGTCCCCTATCTTACTCAAATCATCCCATGCCAACACACACTGGTGACCCTGCAGGATCAGTAGCGTTTTGGATTAAGACTGTTATGAACCCATGATCATGCTGATCTATCACTGTTCACACTCACATTGATTTTCTGTCTTCCCCACTGCAGATCTGCGCAGGATGACAGCTGGCTTCATGGGCATGGCGGTGGCCATCATCCTCTTTGGATGGATTATCGGGGTGCTGGGGTGCTGTTGGGATCGAGGCCTTATGCAGTATGTGGCGGGGCTTCTCTTCCTCATGGGAGGTAAGAATGTTGGTGTTTGAAGAAATGTATTTGTCTTCTTGTTTTTGTGTTCCCTCTTTCCACATGTCCTTTCTTTTCTAAGTCACTGAAAACGTGTTTTCAGGGTTGTTTTGAGTGATCTGGACTTGGTTTCATTTCAAGTGCCTTCTGGGGTACATCAAGGATCACCCAACCATAGCTACATGTTACTTCTATCACAAAACAGTGTCTGTAACTCACAGGACTAGAAAGGGCCCTCTGAGTTGTTTAATCCAATACTCTGTGGTTGCAAGTAACAGTGTCACCCTTAAACTTAATAAGCTCAATAAAAAAAATCTGAAGATTATGCAGATATTATTCCCACCACTGTCCCACAGTGGGACACTTTGATAACTAGAAACTGTGCTGCAAGTTGTAACATGTACTTATTACTTGTCAGTTGTTCTTGAGACAGATGTAACCCTTAGTTTATGTGTCTCTCTCTTTCTCTGATGTACATATGAAGAGCAATGGTATCCTTTGTTTTCTTTTTCCCACTCTACATATGCTTTCTTGTAGACTTCTCTGTGTAAGACCTGTTATCAATCTAGCAGCCCTTTCTGCAACCTGTTCTTGTTTGTACTTGCCTTTCTCACATATGGATGAGAAGGACCATTCCCTAATAAGGTCTGATCAATGCCTTGTATAAGTGGGGCGATGGTTCCCTTTCTCTGATGGAAATTCCTTGCCTGAAGTATTTTGTGGTTGTATTTGCTTTTTTCATGCTGCATCACACCAGACACCCACAGTCATCCTTCAGTTGGATGATGCATCCAGGCCTTTCTCTTCCTTTGTGATTTCCTACTGGTTCTATCACAATTTACAGCAGAGGTTCTGTTTATTACTCCCTAGGTACATGCCCTGGCACTCTGTGCTTTTGAACTTTTTCACATTTCTACTACACCAGCCCTCAAGGTCATCCAACATTTGCCATGTCATGTTCCAGCCTTCCTTACTAGAGATGCCATCCAGCTTTCTGTTAGCAGAAATTTCAAGGCACACAGTTAATTGAAATTAAGGGTGTGAGAGTCAAGTCCCATAAAAAGTGGTGGGTGAACGTCTCAAAGTGAACACCACTCCTTCTGTTCTCTCTTATTTTCTCTGGTGGTTTTTGTTTAGCTGGGCTTTTGCCCTCCAGGCAGATCATCACTTCAGTGCATTTTATCATCTGTTTATCTGTACTGTGGTGTGATACAGATAAGTGTGTGACATACAGAAAAGCATGCGCAGTCCCAGAAGAGGAGTTAAGTGCTCAAGTAACAAGTATTTATGTTCCAGTGATGTTGTACTGGTGACATTAGACATCAGCTCTCTCTGTGCCCACAAACACATTTGAAGTCACTTGCACCTTGTGCAAGCACACACTGATCTTTGTGGGGATTCTGTAAATGGTTTGTTTTGGGTGTCAAAGTGTTATGGACAATGGGCCTGATGAATTAACTTGATATTTCTTATATAATTAATTTGCATTTAATTAGTTTGCATGGGGGTTATTTTGTTTTACTGTGCTTAGATATCTGTGTGATATTTAACTTGCTACAGCACAACATTCAGATTAAAACATTAAGAGTATACAAAATAAATACAGAAAAATCTGTTAGAAACTAGCTATGTCTTGTTTCCTAACTGGAAATTATTATATATGGGGTGGTTTCTAGTGCAGCTGCAGGGATTTCTTTTTGGCTCAGTGTTATTTGGCAGTGATTTGAAAGATGACTGTTAAAGTTTTCAGGTGAAAGGAGATTCAGTGTAACCATGTGTCATGGGAGGGGTCACTCATAGCTTACAAAGCCATCTTTTGGTGTGCTTGAACAATACACATTTCAGTGGAGACACGTCCAAGGTCATGCAGCTGGGAACAAAAGGTGTCAGTCATCCTTGCAGAACAAGAGGCCCCCTCAGAAAGCAGCAGCTCTGAAAAGGTCTCAGATCATGGTTGCTGGGACCATCCAACTGCACAGGAGCTCTCAGTGCAGTGAAGCTGCTAAATGTGTTAGTTTTTATGGGAATATGCGATGAAAGCATGAGGTGGGGTTATCTCTGGGCAAAGCAAAACTGTTTCTGGACATCCTAATCTGGTGTCAATGCTAAAGAAGGATGTGGAAAGATTGGGAGAGGTTTGCAGAAGAGCTACAAGAATGACTCAAGGTTTGAAAAACAAGAAAAAGACAGCATGCCACAAAGAGCGAATTGCTTGTAACTGTTTAACAGAAGGTTTATAAATTACTTGAACACACTGTGTAAGTACCTATGCAGTGAGAAGCCATCTGATAGGAGAACACTCTTTGCATAGACAAAATAATAACAAGATCCAGCAGTTGGAATCTGAAACTAATTGAAATGAGAGGCACCAGATTATTTTATCTGCCAAATTCTGTCACTATGTGTAATATTTTAAATAAAGATGTTTTGGGAGGAGATGAAAATTGTTCTCTGCTTCAGCGCATACACGTGGATCAGCGTTACCCAAAGGTTACTCTCTTTCTTGTTTTGCACAAGTCAGTAGCAACTGCTATACTGATTTCTTTTAACAGCAAATGTGTGTAAAGTAACATCTACAAACTGAAGCAGTCAGTTAATAAAATACACAACTAGAGCCATCTAATCTAAAAGCCGGTATCTATCGATGTTCTGAGACTGTCATATGTTACAGCCAATGAACCTTTGAACTTAAACTATTTTATTGCTGGATGGTGTTCGAATACAAAGCTGGTTCTTCTGTCATGACATAAATTCTGTCAACGCAGTTTTGTATTGGTCCTTAAAACGCATGGAGCCAGAGTGCCTCTCAGTTTTACTTAACTGTTTCTCTGGTCCAATAATGAGAAAAAATGCTTTGGAAGGCTTATGTCATCTGACTTCATTGCAGCTGAGAGGAGACTGTGTTCAATTGGTAGCTATAAAATCACCCTGAAATCTAACTTTCCCTTCCATTTGCAACGCCACTTGTCTTGGCTGTGTTTGTAGCATTCCCTCTGTTTGTGTTATAGACAAATAGCTCTTTTATAATGCTTAAATGTTGCTGGCTTAACACATCTATGGGGTTTGTCCCTTATTGCCTGTAATTCTTTGATCAGGAAATCTCAACAGAGCACTAAGAAGTGTGCTATAATAATCTAACAAGGCCAGACGTGGTTTGCTTGGACCTCTGGTTCTTTATTATATTTACCAAACAGTCTTCTTGCTTGCCCATGTGGCAGTGCCTCCTTAAGGACTTACTGTAGTCTGGTTGATCTGATTTCTCAAGTAAATTGCTAAAACAAGTCATTTGTGAAATGCAGGCCGTTATCTGGTATTGGTTCATCTGGAATCCAGGACATGTAAACTGTGATTTAGAGTGTGTTTTACAGTGTTATTCAGCATGTTTTGTAACAAGTTAAGATTATTAATAATTCATCTTTTCTGTTTAGTCCAAATGTATCTGTATCAACAGCAACCACAGGTCTCTTATGGCTTTGAAAGGGGTTTTTTTTGCATAATTTTCTGAATTTATTGTAGAATTTGTACTTGGATCCCTTATCTTGAATGACAGCATTTGCCTGACCACAGTAGGATTTTTTTTGGTCCCTCATCTTGTACGGAGCCAGATGGATACTGCAAATTATGTTTACTATTTTTTATCTCATTGTGCATGATGGTGTTGTTACATTGCCTTCTGTACCCACAATTGCACTATCTCTTGTAGTTCCATTTCAGTATTGTCAGTATCATTTTACCCTGCAAGGTGGGAGAGTTTCTCCTTTTGAGAGTTTCTCCATTTGGAATTGTGCTTCTAAATTTCACTGATCAGTTCATTTTATTCATCTTACTTGAGACTGTTTAATTCTATTACAGAACTGGGTCACACTCAAATTATACATGACTTGGAGCACATCCTCTTGCAGCTTCTTGTGTTTTCTTTTCATGCAAATTACTGAAAATCTGTGCACCAGTAAAAGCTCCATCCAGTAATTTTGTAATTTTATAATTTTATAATAATTTCTGGAGCCTTAGAAGCAGCTGTGACACTACTTCCAAATGTTAGAGTCCTGTGGCAAACCTGATGCTTTCATGCTCATCAAGGACCTACTTGTAGTCTAACAGGAATTCAGTTAAACATCTATCTGAGGAAATGCATGGGGGGCATTTTATATGCTGTGTTTTTAACAAAGAAAATTTACTAGCCCTAAAACTATGCCTTAGCTTTTTGAAGTCTAGATGTGGCCTGCTTATCAGTTGCCAAGAAGTGGTGCTCACATTTTCTGGCTTTGAGAAGTTCTTTTGGATGTATTCAAATCCTGGACTTGTTTGGGTTTACTATCGTGGCAAACCTGTCAATTAATTTGGTTGGTGTCCCTCAACAGTAGTATTGTCAAGGTCAAATTTCGGTTTTACTTCTAGCTCCAAAGAGTTGAGATATTGTGAACTGGCACATGGTAACTCTACCAAGGCAAATTCTGTTGTCTTCAGGAATCCCTTCTTTCCTGTATCATGACAAGCAAACAAGCTTATATCTATCTAACTCTTGGTTTTTCTACCTGCTCTCCAGCACATTCATTCATAGGAGTTTCTTACTTCAGCATCTCAGATTCTGCTAGGTTGCTTGTTCTTCCAAAACCATGCAAAGCCAATCTCACCACACCTTCTGTTATCCTACATGCTTTATAAAATCATCTTTTAAAGACAATCTCTGATAGCCTGTTGTTATCCCAGTTCAGCTGATTTCAGTCAGCTGTTTTGACATATCCCATGGCTTGCATTATTTCTAATTTGAGGGTAGGGCTGACTTTGTACCTAAATGCTCCAAACTCCTTTTCCTCCTCATCAGTGCCTGCTGTGGGGAAGGTGGAGCTGCCCCATGGTGGCATGCTCCAATGTTTTGGCAGTGGTTGCATCCTCCCCTTCCCTGCCTGTGCACCTCCCTGGCTGAACTGCTGTCTGTTGTCCCAGCTGGAAATACAAAATGGCACTTCCAGTATCTTGTTCTGGTACTTGCCTTAGCA